GGTTTGCTCTTTGATTTAGATTCTCGGGAAACACTGAAATTGGATTTTTTTTTTGTGTGTGCTCTCACTCCTGCTGTGACATATGCTCAACAACTTGTTACACGGAGGAGGAAAACTAAACGCTTGCTTTGGTTTGATGCTGAGAATATTTAGCGATCAGAGCCAGTAACTTCTGGTATTATAACCTCTACTTTTGCGTTTCCTCACCTAACCTGTTTTTAAAAACAGGTATTTGTTTCAAGATATAGTAATAATGGAAGTCAGGAAAGTGGACCGAACAACAGGATGATGTTTTTTTCTTCTTTTTTTTTACAGTAAACAAGAACTTAGAGTGGCTGTAGCTCAGTCTGTAGGGAGTTGGGTAGGGAACGGGGGGGGGGGGGGGGGGGTCACAGGTTCCAGTCCTGGTTCGGACCAAAATACAGAAGTTGGCCTGGTACCTCGAGAGGTGCCAGGGCACTTCCTTCTGAGTACTGCCGATGAGCCCTTGAGCAAGGCAATGAACCCCGAACAGCTCTGGTGTGCATCTCTCCTTTAATGCATGTCCACTGGTCCTGTTTGTGTGTCTGTGTGTGTATTTCAGGGCTATATGTGTGAGAAGCATGTCTCTCAATAACAGAGTGTAAAACTAAAATTCCCCTCAGGGATTAGTATGTAAAAAAAAAAAAAAAAAAAAAAGGGTGCCTTCTATGATAAATGATTAAAAAAATCAATATAGCATAAGTGAATCCATTAGGTATACATATTTAAAGTACATGTACTGGATCATTTTGTATCAACCATTGATCTATACTTTTATTAGTTTTATTAGGTAGCTAATTTACACCAAAAACAGAGCCTTGAAGTCATCTTTCAAAACGAGGAATGTAATTATTATACCTGCAACCATAGATCAGTTTACTTCACTTAAGTTGAGGGAAAGTGTAGATAAGGAATTACAGTAAGTTGCATCAAATATTAGCAAAGAGGCTATTTTGTTCACTTTCAGCTAAAGAAGGTGGCTTCCAGCAATAAACTAGTCAAACTAACTGTTCACATCCCTAGTAGCTGATCAATGTTAGCAATGTTAGTAGAGAGACCAAATTCAGAGCTAGAATTAGAGTGAGTTCCAGACAGTCTCCATCACCAAGTGGATAGGAATGCATCCTCATCTACATGCTAATGCTGCTGTTTGCTAACATTTTTAGCATTTCATCTTATATCAAGTTGCTTATAGCTTGTTTTTATATCACCAGGTGGCCAAAGTTAGTCTAAACTTGGCTTTGGAGAAGCTGTACTTCATACTTTCTGCTTGGATAATTGTTGTTATCACAGGACTCAACAATAGCAAGATGCAAAGTTCTGCTAGTTGTAGCATTTAGTTGTAGCATGTAACATTTAGAGTTGTATTTAGAAGAAGTTGATGGTAACACAAAAACACTATAGTTATTCAGCTGGTCTAGAACTAGACTCTTGATCTAAAACAAACTACTGAGTGAATTTTCAGGATTCTGTCAAGTGTTATTTGGAGCCTCTTAATTCTTTAATACTTAGATTGAATGTGTCCTCCTCGCAAGGCTCAGTCGGGGTTATAGTTGGTTTCTCGCCTTGTGTTTGTACAGTCTTTTGACTTTAGGTGTCTTATTATTGGACTTTTTGTTCATGATCATGGTTTGTACTATGATTTCACTACTTTAATATCTGTCCAGGAATCAGAAGTGCCCATACTGCAGGTCACTCTAAAGATAATCTATGAGATAAAGATTTTTTACTCAGCTTCGTGAGAAGGTATTAGACAAAGACTGAATGCAACTTAGCATTTGAGCTTCATTGAAAGAATGAAAACAAAGTCTCTGCAGCATGTCAAAACATCACAGAGAATACCAACAACCTTTTGGCTGCGCACACTGTTACTACACAAGGCCTGCTATGCACTCATCACATACAATGTCAGGCAAAACAAAGTGTGAGGCTTTGAAAAGTGCCCTTTGCATGAAGTGTGTATTTCCTCTTTCATTTTGCTTGGCAAGATATTGTAGACACCCGCCCCCCTGACTGGGCTATGGATTATTAGCTTAAGCTCTCTAAAAATATCCCTTTGACTGTTTAAGCCTCTGACAGCAGCAACATCTCACACATTCTGATAGCTTTATACTAACTATGGCTGCAGAGGGCTCATGAACTCAGCCTGCCTTGTTATCTTTTACCTTGTTTGCCCGAGGAGGAGGAGGAGGAAATCTTACAGCCCCCCCCCCCCTAAAAAGATCTGCAACAGTCCTCTGTCGGAGCGGATCATCAAAGGCCATGCAATCACTGCAATCTCTGAACAAACGAGATGCTTTTTTGAGCGCGAGAGGATTTTGCCCAGATGTCACTCGAAGCACTTGTCATTGTTGCGACAGCTGTGGAAGCACGCGGGCCCGTTATTTGGGGGGGAAAAAAGCGTCTTCTGCAACATACCAAAACAGCACACGTCAAATGTGAAACATACACAGCCTTGAACATAAAATTCCTGAATATTAATGCTGTAAGCCTCTTATGGAATTGAGACTTTTATTGCCTATCATTTCAGTTTTATTGGCTTGCCTGTGTAGTCCCGGTAATTGCGTATTTACCAGCATGCAGTATTTATCAAACCAATATATTAGGTTTAGCTGAGCTTATGCTACCAAATATTTTTGATGTTGGCATTCATAACAGCTCATAGAAATTAATAAATTCCTGAAAGGGATTACACCGTACACATGTGGCTCATAGACATTGCTTCAATTATCTTTTCTTCTGACGCCCACACTCTCTCCAAAGGCTTTTCTCACAAATATTAAAGCTGCTAACTAGAGAGAGACGGAGAGTGAAAAAGAGGCATGTGCCGCTCAGCAGCACCATTGTTATTCCAGCCTTTTATTCATGTGTCTCTCTGAAACGCTTTGAGATGAAATATCACTGTTTTGACAAGACGTTTTCCAAGCTGCTCGCGTCTCCTGTGAGATGCCTCATGCTGGTCGGTGATGGAACATTTCTGAGGAGAAAAGTCAATATGTGGTTGTAAATAAATGAAAACAAATGTGAGACCAGAGACCTCGATAGATTGAAACAGCAAAGAGGGGAGAGGAAAGAAAGAAAGGAAAAAAAAAAAAGACGACTCACCTTTACTCGTTATAAAACTGCTTCTTGGCTGCGCGGGCTAATTGACTAGCCTCTCCACCTCTGTGTGTAAGGAGTGGGTGTTGTGGGTGATGAATTGACATATTGCTGGCGCCGTGATGTTGATTCAAGGCAGAGAGCCATGAGGCTTTCCTCCAGGGACCTGTAACCTTATTGTTCCATGTCATCTTCTCCCCTTCTGTTTGAGGAGCAGGTTGTCAACCTCTCCCCAAGGTCACACAAACACCAACCCCCTTTCTGCACGTAATTGGATTATTTAGAATCATAGCATCAACTTATTGCCCCGTCTGGGGTCAAAAGTGAATTTAGTGCACAAGGTTGTCCGTCATGATTTGTGGCATCGTTCTGAGCTGACGAGCAACAGCTTCTGTCACCAGTTAGAGGATCAAACCGGCGGCGTAGCATCCTTCAGCCTATTAAATTCCCATCACATATTGGACATTACTCAACATATTGCATCATGCTGCTGCGTTTTCAGATTTTGGTTTTATTCCTTGCTATTTCAAGCATCCTATTCATTGATTTATTTTCATTTCTACACAGAAATCAATTTGCAGCATCTGAACCTGGTAGAGAAATGCTGGATAGCCTTTGGTTTAGTTTGTTTTCTTTCTACCATAAATTTCCATTAATCAATCACTTCAAACATTCCAAAATTTCCAGTTTCAGCCCTTTTCAATATAAATCCAGTATAACAAACATTTTGGATCTATTTTTTTTTTTTTTTTAACCCAAATCTTGCAGTCCATTTGTTCTGATACAGTTGCGACCTAAACTTTTTTGATCTGGTAACTCCTAAACTAAAGTTAATGGAGTTGAAGACTGAAATAAAAAGTTTGCACTTCTTTACCACACCATGATAAAAGAACTTGAAAGAAAATGGAAATAAAGTTGAATTGTACATCTTTTCGCAGACTTGTTGTTGTTCATTGTGTGTCTGAAAATTTGGGATATGACCGCACTCTTGGTGGAGTTTTGGAGATTTGCAGAAGTAACTTCAATTTTTTAGCAAAACTTGGTTTAGCAAAATACGTCGAACTAAACTACCACAAATGTATTAATGAAAGTTCAACAGGATGGTCAACATAAGCTTGACCGTCAACAGTCGCACCAAACACATCCACCTTTGTATTTATTTTGCGGTGTTCAAGTTTGTGAAAAGCTAAAACAAGGTCTACAAAACACTATTGCACTCTTGCTGAATACATTATTTGCATCATTTACATGTTTTACATGTTTTGCAAAGTAGTATGAAGCCTCTGAACATCATTAAGTGTTCCTTAAAAGAAGTGGATGTTCAGTAGATTGGACACTAAGTAGAACATCCTTGTAATGTGCCTCTTAAAACTAAAAAATATAAAACTACAGCATCAATTTGAAGAAAAAAAAAAATCAATGTGAAGTCTACATGACCTTTAGTTTCGTAGCAAAAACCTGCATACACACTGGTGTAGGCTTTAAAAGTGCACCTGTTCAGAGACTAAAGAAACATAAAGTGGGTGTTGAATGCCTGCAGTGCCGGGGATTCCCACATACCAGCAGATATTCATGGTTTCAGTGGTAGTCTCATGGCTGGAGGCTGACGTGGTGTTATCTCATGCTGCTGTGGTAAGACTAGATGAAGTGGGGCAATAGATTAAATGGGTGGGCTGCATGCCTATTAAATCAGGAGCTGGCAGAGGAACACTAACTCAGGTTACCCTCTTGTCACGTGACACAGCCGCACATGTGAGGAGGAGGAAAAGCGAGATGTCTTTACTTCACGTCTGGTGCGTGACACTCTGCTCTGTTTGTGACTCTTTAATTAACTGCTCATTTGTGTGTGTGTGTGTGTGTGTGTGTTTTTTCTCTTCCAGGAGGCGGCCACATTTGCCAAAGTGCTGGGCTTTGAGGTGAGTTGACCGGCAATTGCACACTAAACAGATCCATAAAGGTTTATTTTTGCTGATAATGAAGTTCTTTTTGGACAGTGATTGATGTGCTATTATACTCTCCAGGCCTTGCAGCAGTTGCTATGGAAACCTGGCAGTCGTCATGGTTTCTTTGTTCAGCCAGCTCTCTGTTATGACGCACTCTGCTAGGTCTGCACCCAACATCGCCTACAGATGTTATTTATTGAATTTTGAAAAGCCTCTTGGGAAGCTGAGAACTTGGGCATGGTTTCAAACCTTTCTCTGCAGGCTCGGGGCTCATCAGGTTGCCTGGTTAAAAAGCCTCCTCATTATCTTCATTGCACTCAGGGATGATACTGTATTTCTTTCCCCTTCACTGCTTTTGCATTACAGCACACTGAAAAGACACAGTCTTTTTAATGATATCCACCTGTGGTTTTAGATTATGTAAATCAAATTACAGTGCTTTCTACCCCATAGAACGTACACTATGTTTTTTTTTTTTAAATCCTCTCCAGTGTAAAATGAAGCATCCCTTGGTCTAAAATTTCCTTGTACTTTGCATATTCCTCAAACATATTTTTAAAAACACAAATAGGCTGTGTGTGTGTGTGCGTGTCTGGGAGTGTTTGCAAATGGGCTCAGGTATTTTAAGTGCCGACTCTCTTTCAAAAAAGGTAGAGCTGCCTTGAATGTGTGGCTCTGCGCCGTGTGAATAATTGTCATCCAGAATCACTAACGGTGTGATCAACGTGACTGGAATAGAAATGCAATCCTGACGGCAGTGACAGGTTTAAGAGAGGAGAAGGGATGAAGGAAAGAGGGAGGTTGTGGTGAGGGTGGGGGGATAGTGTTGAAGGGTGGGTGGGGGGGGGGTAGTGTTGAAGGGTGGGTGGGGGCTCACATGAAGAAAAAAAAAAAAAACACAAAGGGCAAAGTGTGGACTCTTCTAGTAGTTACAATTCTTTGACATTTTCCGTGTCAACCTGATTTGCCAGAACACTCTGCAAAATTGCATCGGATGAATGTGATTTCTCAGATAACATTAGTGCTGTGTGCTGTACTTGCTGCATTTCTTTGTCGTTCACAGGTTGTTGTTTTTCTTCTGACACAAGCCTCGACACTTTCTGATGTCAATTTTCATGCCCTTACACAGTACATGCATTTTCTGCTGTATGGACTATTATTGTATATGTACAAAGACATATAAAGTATACAGTCTCCTCTAAAAACATATTTAAAGCAGGAAATAATAGTTCTAAAGTTACATCAGTATAATGGAAGAAAAGTTGTCATTCATGCATGCAGAACAAACTTGACTGAGTGCAGAACATTTACAAACGTTGTGCACATGTCACCACAACATTTGCTTTGCAAACAACTAAAGCATTCACTACATGCACCAGATATATTTAGTCACACGTGTAAAATTTGATGATTCTGATTTGGTGTATTAAATCAATATTCTCTACAAGACAGGTTAAGATACTTTTTGTCTGCGTATTGATACAGTGAACATTTGTTTGTGATAATCATCCAAACAACACTAGACATAAACATGCAAAAGAAAAGCACATTGAAGATGAAATGATTATTATTATGTTTTGAATACAGACACCACAGTATAACACAAGTAAATAGTGTACAGAGTATAGGGTACAGAGTGTCCGTTATGTGGCAGATTGGAAGTCCAACAGTGCTACATTATATATAACAGTCCTGAGCAGCTTTCAAATACATCACAGAATATGTGCTTCAAGGTGCATTACTCATCTTTTAAAATGTTATGTGTATGAAAGATTCTTAGCTTGATATTCAGTTTGCAGTTTAAAGCTCCTGTACGGACAATTTGTGTCGATGTACATCTGTGTGTGTGTGTGTGTGTGTGTGTGTGTGTGTGTGTGTGTGTGTGTGTGTGTGTGTGTGTGTGTGTGTGTGTGTGTGTGTGTGTGTGTGTGTGTGTGTGTGTGTGTGTGTGTGTGTGTGTGTGTGTGTGTGTGTGTGTGTGTGTGTGTGTCCAAATAAACTCCACATGCTTTTTTTTTTTTTTTAAGATTTATTTTGGGGTTTTTGTGCCTTTAATGCAGAGATAGGACAGTGGATAGAGTCGGAAACCAGGGAGAGAGAGCGGGGAACGACATGCGGAAAGAGGCCACTGGGTGGAAGCGAACCCAGACCTACCACTCGAGACGACAGCCTCAACACATGGGGCGCGCGCTCTCACCATTGCGCCCCAACGTGATTTCTTTTAACAAAGAAATGGATCACTCACTGTGAATCTTTATTTTGGACAAATGTAAAGGAAGCATCCAGTTTCAATCACCTCGTAGGACACCTACCCCGAGGCAGCAGTTTCAGGCATTGAAGAAAGCTTTTGGAAATTGTCAATCTTGTCATTGATGTTCTCGCTTGCTTTTGTAGCTCATCAAGATGCAACCAAGTTAATGCCAGTCTGTTTCATAACCTGCTTAAAACTCCTGAACAGCTCAGCTTTAACTCTTTTTTTAATGCTGACAGACTCCATTGAACATAAGATCATTTCAAGTGAGCTGGTCAGTTAGCCATTTTGTAAAGGATACAGTGATTTAATATTGTTAAGTTTGCTACGCTATCAATAATTGACCCAAAGATGCTTCATGTTGCATTTTCAATGTGTTCCGAAAACATTACTATCATTACATTATCGTTGACGAACAAAAACATCAGCTTCCCTTCTTCAGTGCGAGCACAAAATAAAAACCTTGTTCTCTCCAAAACAGCAATCAACCGATCTGAACACAGTCGCCTGATTGTGATGTGTTTTTTTTTTTTTTTTTTTTTTTTTAAATGCTCAGAGAACTCTCTGCATCGCAGCTCTAATTGAATCGTTCCCTGGCTTTGTTTCTCAAACAGCCTGCAGTGGAGACGATCACTTTCTCTCCGACTTCAACACATAAACACAATTTAGCACCCTCGTAAAGCCTTTATATTTCACGGTGTGTTGATTTATGTCTGATCAATTGCCGCACAATCGTAAATATTGCCATTTTTTTCCCCACTAGTAAACCAAATTGGCCGTATCATTTGTCAATTCATGTTCTGCACTCCTGTTATCATGCTGCGTTCTGTAGCTATAAGATCTTGTCAGGTGAGTGTTTGTGCAACGCAAACCATAGAAGTGTTTGATCACGTGTGTTTATGTGACTGTAGCCTGCCCTGCTCAACAGCCATGATGCTAACCCTGCCACCTCTGGCCCTTAGAGCCTTTTAGCTCCTAAACCCGAGTAGAGAGCCTTTTTTTTTATGTTGGTGAACATAAAACCGGAGGGTGACAATGTGCCGAAGCCTTGTGTGGTTTTCGCATTCAGTGTCTGGAGGAGTGCTTGTGGTTACATCCAGTCACAGTGACAAATTGCCTTTTTTTTTTTTTCCTGCCATCGCTTGCTAACAGCCTCTGTATTAACCTCGCCATTAGCACTTACTTAGAGTGTTACACCCATTTTTCCTCAGCCCAGGGTCTCTCTGGACCTCTCAGGGCTGATTAAAGGACATTTGGGAAGCATTTAGAGGTGTAAAAGCTCATTGGTTTGAATGAGCCAGTGTGGCTTGGTGGTATCGGAGCCTATCTCTCTGATTACTCCCATAACCACAGTATTTGCTCACCCTAAAGGTGCTGAAGTGTTAGCTTTGATATAGATGCTAGAGGCGTGTGCGACCCTTAATGCTAACTCCTCAGTGTGCCGTATTACAGAAAAGCAGAGTCCACCCCACTGCGAGGCGGCGATAAAGACATTCCACCTGCTCATAGTACATCATGATGAGTTAATAATAAAGTAGCACTGACAGGTGTGGGTTTTTTTATCCCTCTCATGATCAAAGGCAAGCACTCCGGAGAGTTCTGTCGTCTCCAGGCGAGAATATCCATTCTGTGCAGATGCTGAGGAGAGATGGCCTGTTTCAGGAAGAGAATGATACAGTACACGCACCAAGAAGTAGCTTTATCTGACAACAGCATATCTTCACACGCTTATTTTCATCTCACTTAGGGAATATGACATCCTAATATTTTACAGCGCTCCTGTAGCCACGTGGAAACATCATCGAGCGCTCCTATTGATCTTTTCTGAGCCGTTTCATAGCCCCATCTGGTTTCATTATCACTTGATCCGTCTGGCAGGGTTGGAAAAAAACTCCTGACCCCATCTCAGTCGCACTTGTGATGTTTGATTAACTCGTCAGACATTGCTCCTCATGATGCGTTCATTCAACTTTTTACATACACGCCTAACCACTCCCCTGTGTTTACAGACAGAGGACATTGCAGAGATTGCAAAGAGGACCCAAAACCTCCCCAAGGACAATACGAAGAGGCAACGAGTGGTGGTCTTCACCCAGGGCAAGGACGACACTGTTGCAACAGTTGGTAGGCCTTTTTCTTTTTTTTTTTTCCTTTTTCTGTCTTTTATCCTCACATATTTCCTCTTAAGTACCACTCAAAGCTATCCCAACTTTGGCCCCTTTTTGACCATCTTTTACCCTCCGCTTAAACCTCATATCTAAAAAAAAAAACAAAAAACTGCAGCCTTAAATAGATGGTGGATCACTAAGTGAAAAGAGCCGAATGCTATCAGTAATTTCTTTGAAGTTAACCTGCAATATTGACACCAGATGTTAAAAAAAAAAAAAAAAAAAAAGAACGCTTGCACTACGTTCTGTCATTTCAGAGCATAAAAGAAGTGTGGGGGATGCAGAGAGCAGGCATTGATTTGTGAAGTACTTCTAACTTTGTCTTGGACAGTCTCCAAGCCAGTCCTCAGCAATTTTTAATGCTTCATCTCTTCCATCCTGCTCTTTTTTCTTTTCTTTTTTTATTCCTGCAAATTCTGGCAGAGTGACCTTGTGGAGAGAGGGGGTTGACAACTTTTAGTCCTCAAATCAATCCCATCTCCTTTGATTCAGGTTATATTTGTGAGCCGGACATTAAAAAGGCGGTGTCATCATATCTGAGCAGGGGTTGCAGGTTTAAGCGGTGCGGGGAGAGACCATAGTTTCAGATTACTGCTGGGAGCCTGTGCCTTTGTCAGAGCCACAGGGTGTCTCTCCTCGTTGCCCTTGCAGTTCAGACTAGTCGTGTGAGAGGAGAGATGGCCTCAGGTAAAGACTCCAACATATCACTCATCACTGGGGACCGCAGAGAGGCACAGCTACGGCAGGGACTGTAAGCACTGCAGGACACTGACTTCACATTATATCCAGTGTCCTCAATTTGATACTGGCTGCAAGAGTATTTTAGTGACACTGTGTACAGTGTGTCACTGATGGTATTATTAGAGTATCAATGACTCATTGAGGTCTTCTTTGTATTTTGTGTTGGGATATCGTCTGTAAACTGTGCTGCAAATGTTGCACGGAGGAAATCTGTCTCGGTGTTCTAAAAGTTAAGTGGTTATGATCGATATTTGTTTTTATTTACAAAGGATAAAATAAGTGTTATGCGAAAGGGAAGCTGCTTGTAGTGATTAACCCACATAATTATAATGCCCCTTGCAGTTCTACACTGATTATTTAGCATCGTATTTGGCTTTTTTTTGTTTTGTTTGTTTCTTTTACAGCCCAGGAATATTCCACCTTACAGACACAGAAGGCAACCAACTAAAAGCTCATACCCAACTTTACACCTAAAGCCAGAGATGTTCCAAAACCATGTATCATTCTCTCCTGGTCATTCAAACATCCATGTACTCACAATGAGTGTCAATCTGGTTCTAGTGTGATAAAAGGTTCAGATATATTGACTGTGAGGGGCCTAGAACTAGCCCTGTTTATGGCAATCCTACCCCTCGAAATTGAAGCATTGCACCCTCTAGAAGTTGTTGTTTAATTTGTGGGAATTCCTTGTGTCAAACATCGCTAAACGTACGCAGCATAGTTATTTGAGTGGGACTTATACACAGACTACAGTCCTCAATGCATCAGCTGTGTGTTCAACTCCAGTTCTCGGACATGTCCACCCTCTCTCCTCCCAACATGTCTCTTTTTTGAAGGTGTCCTATAAATGAATGCAAAAAAGGTCCCAAAAGAATCTCTCAAATATTGCCTTATTGTTATATGACTAATGCTGCATTGCCAGCTGGCACCACATTGTCGTTGTCTGCTAGATTCAGGTGATAAGTGACCTAAACTAACTTCTTCTTCTTCTTCTTCTCTGCTCCTAAACAAGTAGTTGCCAGTGATATCTATAATAGATCCATGTTGGGAGAAGAGTAGATTCAAGATTGAAGTGAAGAACTGATTCCTGGTCAAACAAATTATTTTAATCTTATTTATTTTACTTTTTTTTTAGTGCACAGACTGGCAAACGTTCTGATGCCAATACCACATTTTAGCCATTTTCAGAGGCATCTCCAATAATGCTTTCAGTATTGGACAACCTTTAATTTATGCACAATTTGGGACACAGTTAGCAAATAGATGGTGGAGAACAATCCGAGAGCCAAAAGGATAGAGACCATTGGACATGCAGACATCAGGGAACACAAACAAGTCTATTATTGCTTATGAAGCTTATAAAGCCTAATGATATTGATGTCTTTGAAATACACTATACTGTTACAATATGCCAAATCGACGCAAATAATGCATATTATTTAAAAAAACAACAACAATGTACTGCAGAGAGCTTTGTTCCACTCCTCAGGGCAACGTGCACTGTCCATTTTCTTTTTCAAAGTGGAATTCCTGGAAATAAATTTCCTTTCATGAGAATTTGAAAAGAATCTTTAAGCAGAAACCCTGACGGTTAAAAAGAACAAGAATCCATCCATTGTGCTGGAGGTGATGGATAATTCCTGCCTGCTCCTCTCATTGCTCCTGTGCGGAGACAGAGCCGCGCGCCGCTGTGAACTTTATATAAAATACATGATGAATGCAGGCGGGATGAAAGACAATGTGTTTCAGATGTCATCTACAAAGGCAAACATGATAAATGTCATTGACTGTGCTATCATTGCATTGGAGCAGTTACAGTAGTCTGTAGAGCAGGATCGGTGTGTGTGTGCGTGTGTGTGTGTGTGTGTGTGTGTGTGTGTGCGCGCGTGTGAGAACACCGCTATTCATGGCAGCCAAATAAATGTCAATGTAAAAAGAGAATTAAAGATTTTCATTTCCCAGAGGCGGCGCTCTAATAAACTTGATCTCTCATTTTGTTTGCAATTTGTCCTCCTGTCAGGATTTGATCATTTGCCAGCCTCTGCATGTCATGTTAAACCATTTTATAGTGATTAAGGATTGGAAAATGCCTTCCCCCTGTGGTATAATTCTACAAAAAGAGATGTCAATTTGTTATTGTTCTTTTTTTCTTTTTTTCTCTCCCTGCCTTTCATCACACCAGCGCTTCAAACATGCCTTTCTAAAAGAGCTGGGAGCAGGGGGGGGGGGGGGGGTGGCCCTTTTATTTAGCTGCCACTGACACTGCTGAACTACGCCGGGCTTTTGCTTATACTCCCATTACAGCAGTAATTAAGATCATTGTGCCCTGAACCTTAACGGTGAGGAGATCTAATAAACCATCGTTCAGCCGGGGGGGTCGCCGCTCTAATCGCTGATAAGGACTTGATAAAGCCTGACTCGGCTCCTCTGTGAGTTTTAGAGCTCTCAAGGGGGCTAAGCAGGCAGATTTCGAAACCCAGATCCATACATGTTAATCACATGAAGGCAGAGTGAGGAGGGAATACAGCGAGGCAAAAAGTTTGATTTGTCATTCTGCACAAATTGACAGAAGATAAAAACGCTGCAGGGTGATTTACAAATCTACTTGGAGTCATGTTAATAGTCTGTTTTAAAAAGCTGAATGTTTATGTTGAATACTTCATGAGAGACTAAATCAATTAACATTCTGGGCTATGAGAAAGACCGCTTCTCTCTCTCCCTCTCCCCTTGGCATCTCACATTCAAGTGTTTTCTTTCATGTCTCATCTGAAAAGGATATTGGTTGGCGATGATCTTTTGCCTGTGGTTACAGTAATTATAGGCATATGTATTCATTCTTCTTCTTCTTCTGTTTTTTTTGTTCTTAACTTGATTGTGAACAAACAGATTGAATGTCAGCTCGCTCCTAACCTGTCGCATTTGCCAAGAAAGCGGTAACGTTGTTTTTAAAAAAAAAATAAAAATTCCTCTCCCTCTCCCTCCGTGGATCCGAGTTTGGCTGCAATGCAACAGGAAGCGTTCCAGAAGAAGTATTCTCGGGGAAGTTTCTCACATAAAAGATGTTTTGTGCTTCAACTCAACATTTCACTCGTGCCTTTTTAGCTAAACAGTCGTGTGTAACTCCCAGTCTCTTAGCAGCTCAGCGCTTAAAATGACATATTAATTGTTGAACTTGTGTAGAATATTCACTGTGACAGGATCAAAGTTAATTTTAAGAACCTGCCAACTGTTTGATCTACCTGCTTTCTGTTGCAGCAACAATAGTGTGTCCTGGAACACAACCAAGTGCAGCATGTAATAATTTCAGAACCACAAACAACACTCCATATGCTCATTTTCCAATAAAGCCGAGGTCGTCTTATTTGCATGTACAGTCACTTTTTTTTTCCACAGAAGTGCGTTTTCTCAGTCAGCGTTGTGCTGTGAATTGGCATTGTTAAAAAGAATAGCCAATAATAAAGGACTTAATTGATACTCATTTCAAAGAGACGCCTGTTGAAAGAACTTGTTAAGTTTAATCACCACCATTCAAGAGTTGTAATGAGAGAGTTGTAATGAGAGAATTATAAAGACTGAATTAACAAAAGCACACAATTATAGCTTACTCGAAGGAGGTATTTGAATTCCTTTGAGTTTTTTAATGCAGTTTTTTTTTGTCCCTCTCTGCTGCAGGTATAACCTGTCAAAGCATAGCCATACCACTCACCCACACATTCAACCGCAATATGCTGTTTTTGTCTAACCAAACTCTGAGAACAAAGATATTTCAGTGTTGAAAATGAAAAGGAAAAAAGTGCAGTCGATTTTTTTTTTTTTTTTTTATTGATTGAAAATAATGTTGCAGATCTCATTACAGCGCTATGTGAAATGAGTTCAGCAAAGTGATGTTTTCAGAGCATCTACGAGCCAGAAACAACAAAGTCAGAGAGTGTTGGCAGGAGTTTGTCCTTTCTTTTTCATTTTTCTTTTTGGTTACCATTCCTGCCAGTTGGATCTCAGTTACAGACGGGTGGGGAAAAGTTGGACTGTAACTTGAGTCAACATGTCAGTCAAATTTAATAATTTGCATCAATGAGGTTATGTGAACTTTCCCCTAACAGCAAAGTACAAACTCTGGACATGATGATAGATGGAAGACAAATACTGGGTGTCTATGGTGCTGTGCAAACAGTGCTCCGAAAGTTCTGTGTTATACCATCAATAACTTCATGCTGCTTACAGTGAACTTAGGCCAAAATGTTAGATTATGTTTCTTTGGGGGATGAAATCAAGACAGACATGTTTATGTCTACATATTATTTTAACTGAAGTGGATTGTCATATTAAAAAAAACAACAGAAATAACAAGGCATGAGCAGAAATTTAACCGTTAGTGTTACGAGCTAGCACCGGCTACACATATACATACAACAAAACTAGCCCTAACCTGAAGTGTGACAGAGAAGTCAAGAGATGACAGGTACGGAAAGGACTGATTCTCATGCAGGGAAAACACAAGGTCAGGTCAGCTCACCTACATGCGGGTCTGCAGGGGCAGCGGGCGGCTTTTAGAGCGACGAGCCCAAGCTTTGTGTTTGAGTTCAGTTTTGTTTGTTGTAGTTGGATCACACAAGATACGGCTGGTTTCTGAAACAAGTTCATGGGAGTGGGTCATCTGTTCGGTCCGACAGCTTCCAAGTTGGCGTTCATACGGGTCCTCCATCAGCTGCCCCTTCACCTGTCGTATTACGTCATTTAAAGCGACAGAGCACCTCAGGAATGGTGCGCTATCGGACAAACCAGTAAACACAGCTTTCAACCCATTCTCTATTCTCCCCATGAAAACCAGTCCAAAGTAATTAACAAAACAGACAGATGAGGATGAAGAAGAAGAAGAACCTTACTAATTCCTAACAGCTAGTCTGTTCCTCCAAATGCTAAAGCCGTTTGGTGCTAGTGTTCGATTGTGGGTTTAAAACTGTGCAGTAAAGCAGTGAATAGTAACACAGCACGTTAAGTTTACAGCCATGCTAGTAGCTCTGTGATGCTATTGCTAGGAGACACAGTCACACTTAAGGTGCTAGCCATGGCATGCTAACTAACTCACAATGGCCATGCTAAAATCCTGTTGATGTTTCACAAATACAATACAATGTTGCCCTTGTTAGCCGTTCAAATTGAGAGTGTTAGCATGCTAATGTTATATTGGCACTTAGTATAAAGAACAGCAGAGGCATATGACAATGTACTTAGTTTTGGTTGTATTGTGAGCTACACTGTGTGTGTGAGGCAACCTTATTTCTCTCCTTCTTTCTAATAAGACCTGACTCCTCCCGTAAGACACACACACTGCAGACAGAACCCATTTGTTTTAACTACCGCAAACATATTTACACACGCATTTAGATTTTATTTTTGGGGTCTAATGAACTTGCACAACCTGTTCTGAACAAGTAGCAGCCGCGTCTAGTTTTAATTCATCCGGTTTTATAGCCGCAAAAAGTGTATCACATTTTAAACACACCACATCTGACAACTTGAGTTTCCTCGTCGTGGCACAACTGACAAAACTGTAATTTATTGTTCTCACATTTTCCACTGCGGTTAATCTTTTCAAGAGGGAGGAGGACTCGCCAAGCTTCGTCTGTGGCATTAATTAAGTAAAGTCGTTTTGCCGCTAATTAGCAGATCCTAAAAGGATTCTCGTCTTTTTGTAATTTATTATCAGAGCTACAATCACCTGCTTTCTTTTCAAGAGAGAATGTGTCATTATGAAAACACAATCCATCTCTTGATCTGTAACATCCTCGGCGCCCCAACCTTTAACACAGTCACATTCTGCTTTGTAAGATGTCCTTTTTTAACCACAATTTGATGGGAGATTTTCCCTTATAGCTGGTGTATTACAGTCATTTCCTTGACATCATGTGTGGAACATATGCGCCGCTGCAGGTTGTGTGTCTTTTCCCCTCTGAAGGACAGAAATGAATTAATTGATTATTAAGGTGGGGGGTGTCATATCTTCTGTCCAGCTTGTCCCTGAGCCGTTGTTAGATTAGCAGGGAGCCTCATTAAACAACTTTTTTCTCGTTGTTTTTTCTTTTCCTTTTTTTTTTTTTATCTCATGTTCTCCTTAAACGCCAACCTTTTTCTCTCAATAAGAGGTCTGTCAGCCTCCTCGTGTTCCTTTTATCCGCATGTCAGTCTTTTGTCTCCTTCACCTTTTTGATGGTTCACGTCGGCACCAGAGCCCTCAGATCGTTTGAAGATCGTGTGTGCGGTTTAGATTGTTCTGACATAAGTTGCTGATTTAATGTCACTCTACACCTCCAGACTTTGTCATCTGGTAGATTTTTGTTTCTTTTTTCTCTCTCTCGCCCCCTCCCCTCCTCTCCTTTAAACTGGAAGTCCCTTTGAAGTGCATATGCTACTGATAATTGAAGCAATATAATTCACTGAAAATAATGCAGGGACCCTCATTTAATGGTTTCCTTTTTTAACTGACAGAACTCAAAGGAACTGTTGTTGCATTGTTTTTCATTCATCGCAGCACAGCGTTAAGACTGTTTGCGTTGATCATCTGTTGCTTTTGGACCGTTTGGTCAAATCACTGCAGGACATGGCCTTATTGTAACGACAGTGTTCTTTCTAATTTACCAAAAACAAGAACTCAACTCAGAAAATTCATTGAGCATCAAAAATGCCACACACTAAAAAAAAACAATTTAAACTTCTGAGAGCTCTTTTTTTTTTTTCTTTCATTTTGTTTGTAACTCGACGATCTGGCGAATGACTGATACTGTTTTATAACATCAAGTTTCAATCAGAGAAGTCATAATAATGGTAAGTTCAAACTGTGACTTAATTAACAGCTGCACTGTGTCTCAACCACAGGTGAGAGGGTGACCATGTTCCCCGTGCTTGACATCGACCAGAATGACATCGTGGACACTAATGGAGCCGGAGACGCCTTTGTGGGAGGTAGGCCTTGAAAGTAATCTCCTACACAGCTTGATTTCTATGTACATTTCCATTTAACCTTTGATACTGGCCAACTAGCTAACAAAGTATAGCCTCTAGATTATATGAGTGTGACATTTGGCCTGCTGTTCCCCCTGTATGAGCTTATCAGAGCCCTGCAGAAAAAGGGTCTGCATTCGGGTTCATGTTGAGAATGAAATAAAAAAAAAAGTCTCCATTTCCAGAAACCCTTCATATAAGGCTAACATGAACGCTAACTGCTACTCAAACTATTTTAGAGGGTTATGGGTGGTTACAGGTTGACCTCTTTTGCTCTTTCTACCCAGGGTTTCTCTCTGCGTTGGTGCTAGAGCACCCATTGGAGGAGTGCATCCGCGCGGGACACTACGCGGCCAACGTCATCATCAGACGGGTCGGGTGCACCTTCCCAGAGAAGCCAGACTTTCAGTGATGCATCCATCTATGCATAATTTGTCTTTTCCACAAGATACTTGTAAATGTTCGCTTCAGGAATTAATGTACTTTTTTTCTATTTACAGTAACTGACTACATTGGACTTAATGGTGCAGCTTGAATATTAATCAAACTCAAATAAGCAACTCCGATGTGTTAATCGCTTTAAACACTGTGCTGCTAACAAAGGTTAGAATCATATAGTTGGGAGTATTCCACTGAAAACCTGTTTTTTTTGTTTGTTTTGTTTTTCAAACTGATTACTTATAGGCCTAAAAGATGTCACCACATGTGTAGAAACTTCTTGTTTTTCTTTATGTTTTACTCAGGACGTCCACAACAGAGCAACACACTCTCGTTCTGTCTCCTCATTGCTCTGAAAGTTGGTACAAGTAGTCATTGGGATTTCATTTTTTGAATTTCTGTTTTGCAATATATACTAAGGTTATACGAACTGACCAAGGGTGGAGAAGTACATTATCCCGCAGGATAGGTTTAAAAAAAAAAAAGTTTGTGTTTTTGCTGTCAAGAGAAGGACGGCTGATGTGGTCAGAATCGATTTGACCCAGAGTCATGGCCAAAAAAAACAAACAAAAAACTTTCACAGCAACTTTTCAAAACATTCCTACTTGCACGACTAATTTCTCCGCTCTTTTTGACTATCTTCAAGATAATAATCCTCATTCTGATAACTGCTTATTATACTTGTTCCTTTGGAGTTTTTTCATCCATGAGAAGACTTAATGTGGTGTTTTTAGAAGTGCCAAGAATCAGTGCCATCCTTCACACAGGAGAAAGTTACAAACTTTTACAGCCTTCTTTCAAGCCCGCAGGCACTGAGCGTTGTGATACTATATGCTAATAAAAGAAGTACATTTTCAGTTGAGTGCTTCTTTAACACTCAGCTGACATACTGTGGAAATAAGGGAACGGGTCTTCGTTACTTGTCTCTCTCAGTTCTTAGAAGTGAAAGTTTCACTGGGAAAAGTGTGGGAAAAATGTCTTTTGTTATTACACAAATAAAAGAATATCAAACTCACCCTAGCATTTTGCTCTTGAACCAAAACTGAGTCCAGATAAAATGTTATTTTTTTCATTTATTGCCGTTTTTTTTATAGAAAAGGAAAATGTTGAACTCGTCTTATAACACAGAGCTGTTGTATATTCCTCATTATTTAATCAGCCAGAGGCTCTCTCATGCTAATCACTTTTGGACAGCTCAGCACTCTCCATTATAGAGGGGGCTATGGGGGGGGGGGCTGGGAGGGGGAAACCAGGACCAGCCTGGCGTCCTGGCTCCGCTCAGTCACTCCCACTCATGCCTAACTGGACTCTCGGGGTGTGGGGCTGCACTGCGGGGCTACAGGAGATCATTTTTCTCAGTTAAGGGATTAGTGGTTGCTCTTCTTGGCGATCATTAGTGAGACCTGAAAATTAGGCTGATCCTTCGTAACCAGCTGTGCTGTCGCTGGGGGTTGGAGACGAGGATCAGAGGGAGGCCCCCCAATTCCTAACCCTCTCCTTCTTCCCTCCCTATACTCCTCACCTCCCCCCTTCCTCTCCCACTGACTATGAGCCAGCAGAAGTGTTGGGCAGTGTCTCAAGTGTTTTGTAGAAAACAATTAAACACTCATCTGTGCAACAGAAGAACTGTGATAGAGAATAACATTTTTTTTTATTCCCCTTGAACAACCTGTTACATCATATTTTATTTTATTTTCTCTCCATTTTATTTTCTACACTCCTTTGCACAAGAGCTCTGTTTCGTCTAATGAGGCGTAGTTTATGCATGTATGCTAATCGGGGGCGTCTAGGTGAAAACATTCTCCGGCCAAACTGTTATTAACAACTTTGAGACACTTTTTTTTCATCAGCATTTTTTTTTTTTTAAGGTTTCACACAGATGCGCTTTGAAAAGGACCACATTTCTGATTGGGCAAGATCACACTCCATGGCAGCTGGTTCATTTGCCTCTCAAGATGACAGATGGCAAAACACAAACACAAAAAGAGGGAGCCATGATCAAGTAATGAGAATGCCTGCCACAATAAGGAAACTAAATGTACTTTTCTCACTTTTTCTGATAAACTTTTCCCTGGCTGGATGAATGCAAGAGGTGGAAAAACAAACATACAATCTGTGCATTTAATTAACTCTTAGTAATACTTTATTCTCTAGTTTTTCTAAGCTTGTGAGCTTGAGGCGTCTTTACATTTTTTTAAGGCCGGTTTTATTGCGTTGCAGCCATCTACAAAATCTCTTTTCATTTACTGTTAAGTGTTAAATGTGCTGTGAAAAGAAATGAAGTAAGAGAGAGTTGATTTAGAAACTCGACTTTGTTAAACTCGTCTACAAAAGTGAGTATATTTTTTTCCTGAATGCAGCTAAACTGGGGCCCTGGCCAGTGTTTTGCCCCGCAGATGGGCAGCAGTGTTTGTGAACACCAGTGTGGCAGTTGGCAGAGATTGATAGGGGGATGGGCAGATTGCAATGGCACATGCTCCAATTCAAATTATCCCTGGACCCATGCAGCAGTGGAGGACCTGCTGGGGCCCAGGGTGGCATTCATTATAACCAGACCCAAGCAGGTTTTGGTCAGACACCAGCCGTAAATGCATCACACCCCGATTTTATTCTCATTTCACCTGCTTATGTTCAAATCTGCAACAGCACATCAAACATTTTATCTGAACATATTTGCCGGTGTTAATTCATCGCTAAATTGCAATAAATGTCAAGGACTGACTGGCAACAAGATGCTGAATGATATAAACACTGCAAATAGGGCAAAGGCATACAGGTAAATAGGAAATATAAACGAGAGCATCTGATGAATATAATGACAAAATGACTGCACTATTAACACGTGAATTAAAATTAAGGCAAATCAAATTACACATCAAATGTGTCTTTATTTATGAGGGTAAACTGTTTTCATTTGAGGTCTCTTTAAAGCTGCCAGTACAGTAAAAGCATGTGTTTATAATCTGATGGGAAGTTACCAATTATCTCTCTAATTACATCTGTATTACTGCATGAAAAATGAGCTTTCTGGCAGTTCTGACGCTGCTAAAGGAGTTGAGTGAAGGGAGAGAGCGCAAAATCTAAAGACTGGAAATTTAATGATCTACATTATTGCTAACAACTATTGCTCTTCCTTGGGCATGGTGAAGTTAATTAGCAGATTATGGTGTTAGTGTATAATATCCCCTTACTGCCCTGGGTAATATTGGGCAAAGTGAGGAAGAGCTCGTTTTAAAATAAGAGAGTGGATTTATGTGTTTGTGTCAAAATCAATCACATTTGAGCGTATATCTAGTGCACATCAATGGAAGTTAAAATGCCCATAGGGAATTCATGCTAATAGGGGTGTTATGGCATTAAAGTGTTATGAGACTGTTCTACAAATACTCTGAAGTGTAAAAATGTTCCTCCTGGCTCATCACTGGACATGTTGATGGAAGGTGGGGGGGGAGGGAGGTGGGGGGGGAAGTGAAATTGACAATATCATTGTAGGAGCGCACTAAAGGGGCGACGGTCCGCTCCACTACACTGAAGTAGGGATGTCTACAGTGGAAGAAGAAGAAGGGGGAGGGTACCACTTTGTCACAGGCTGCTATGTAGATTAACCTTTCAATTAGTTGTTATCAGGTCCTCTCCATGTCTCGGCGCAAGCTTTCCAGCCTTCGTTTTAGGAGATCAAATCCCACGAAATCGCCTGCTTTGGATATGTCGCTGCACATTTATCCTTCGACGATAATGAAGAGGAGTATCCAAGGGGGGGAAAAACTTGAAGAGGTAAACTACCAGCGAATATTTACGGTAGCCCGTGTTGCCCTCGTTGTTGTTTTTTTTGGGTTTTTTTTAAAGGCTTCTTTCATACTTGTAATATGTTCATCCTTGCATGAAACTTGCTGGTTTAATTTTGTTGTGCTTTCTCGCCCACGGAGGCGACATATTTCATAGGTAAGGTCGGTTTGTGTAACATGTACGACAACGGTGTGAAAACCCAACCAAGGAGACTGTGTATCATTCCCTTAATAAAATATGGGAAACGAGAGCGGAGATAAAAAGGGGAAAGCTAAAGAAACTAGCGATACATAATTGAGAAGCAGTGATGAAGGAGCTACTCTTCCTGGCCGCCGTGTTAACTTGTATTCCCCGCTGAACATGTCTTTTTTTCTCTCCGGGGCTCCACTGTTTCCCCCTCGTTGGAGATATTTGATAGTTAATGGTGATAAAAGAGGGTCATGCCATCATTGCACAGCGCGACACAGGACGTTTATAATTTCGCTGGCAGACATTGAGCGGTGCATAAAAACACACTTTTTTTTTTTTTTTTTTTTTTTTTTAATCTTATGTGTATTTAACGTCACGTAGTTTAAATGTTAAATATCAAGAGAATTACGACTCCTCTCGGGGAAATAATGAGAAAAAAAAGGGGAGGAAGATAAAGAGGAGGCGAAAAAGGCGATTGCTTAGACACATTTTCGCCTGCAGGAGTCTTGAATTATATGCTTCTCAGAATTGATTTAAAAAAAAAAAAAAAAAAAATGTAATGTGTTCCACTTTAAGCCAAAGCGGTAGAGCCTTTGCGGGGTTTTTTTTAATGCAAAGAAATGATAGATTTAACAAACAGCCAATTAAAGTCTAAAATGTTCCAAATCACTTTCAAGTGTAACCAACTGTTTCAAGGAGGAATCTGAGTAAAGGTGGCGCGGTGTTAAACGCTTTGAAAACGAGCTTAAATCTCATCTTGTTTTAATTGTTTTAAAGCCAGTTTGCGCATGTTTTAGCGCATTAATGTGTTTATTACACCCTGTCGCTGCGGTTAGTGGCGTTAGTTAAGATATTATGAGCGTTGGGGATTGCATGATATCAATTCATCACTGGAGGCACCTTAAGAGGCGGGTCAACTGAGTGAAGTGACAGATCATACAGCCAGTGCCGTGCCTCTTAGTGTGAGCTCATACATAAAGATTGACATGTGCTTTATCAAACCAGAAATCGGATCTTGTCTTTACAGCCAATATTGAAGTTGCTAGGGAGGGCACATTAGTGTAGGTACGGTTTAATGAGACTCCATTGGATTGTAATCAGCGTCATGTCGGATTCATGTAAACTACAACATTGTAACAAAATGGCGACTGTTTAGGTGACATCAGTAATGCTGGCAAACACTTGTCATTTATGTGCTCAACTCAGCGGAACACAACTCTTGGGGGTTTGTTACGTAGTTATAACCGGGGGGGATTCTTCTTTTCGAATAGACGGCTCGGTGGATACACGCGAAAACGTGCCCACCTTTTTTTTTTTTAGACGTCCGACGGCAGCTGTCAGGAAGTGAGAGGAAAAAAAAAAAAAAAGAAAGCGTCGATTACACGTCTGTCATTAAACGCTCGCGCTGATCACTTTTGTCGTCGCGCGGACCGTCGAACTGTCAAAAGTCGCGTGCGGACAAGTAACGGTTAAACTTTAAACGCTGTGATCCTTCTTTTCAGTCAGTTTTGTTACATTCAGACATGTCACGGTGACATTTTGGATATTACGTTGCTGCAGGAATTAAATGTTAACTTGTATGCGGGGTTTTTGTTTTTTGTTTTTTTGTTCCCCCCCCCCCCATGTCGTGAAGGTATCTGAAACCGAAAATATTAATCTGTCGAGAAGCCTTACTTTTTTTGTAAACTCAGGGAAGAGTTTCGACGTAGCCTACCAATCATTGTGTAGAAGTTATGACTTTTATATTCCATTTTTGAAATGGACATCTGGTTTTAGTGTGTGGATTATGGTGTCTGTCTATGGATTAAGTCTCTCAAATTTCTTTTAGCAGCCATGACAGCTCCTGCATCTGTTTTTATCCATCTGTTTAAACACATTTTAAAAGTCCTGCATTCCTATGGCATGTCATTTACATCCAATATGCTATAACCTAGTTTATAGAATGTGATAAAGATGAAATAACAATGATTTACATGACTGATATTTGTTTAATAGTGTATTTGACCAAATAATTTTCTCTCTTTTCCTTCACAGATTTAA